CTTACTTGAAAAACTGTATGAAGTTGGATAATGATCAATGTAAAATTTATCAATGTTACATAATTATATTTCTGATTATTATTTGTTATAAAAGATTATAAACTTCATTTCTTTCATTTTCATTCACATATTATATACGAAGCGAGCAATGCTGAGACTGTGTTCTCTCGGGCTACGCTCGATTACAAAATTTTATTCCAGTTTTTTCAAGTCTACTCAAATAATCTAATCATCTTCGTTTATGCTTAAAGTTCTATAATTTATGTTTGTTTTATTTTCGTGGTGAAGTCCGGACATGCAAGTCCCCACTTTCCAAAAATTTGTTATCGTGTATGAATCTCTAGACCAACTAGCTAAGAAAAATATTTTCAAGATGATAACTCGTGTCTTATAATCTATCAAACAGACTTTTTTCGTTTTTCGTTTACGAGAAATAATTCTTACTTGACTTCATGTAGCATATGAAAAGAGTTATGATTTAATACAAGCATTGAGAAAGAGAACTCTATATATATTGTTTTCATACATTAGATGAGATCAAACAGATTATTTCTTGTAAACGAAAATATGTTTGTTACATTATAATACAGAAACGAATTGCATCAGTAGATTTAATATATTTAGTTTTAGTAATTTTAATTAATTATATAAGTTGAAGCATATTAATTTAGTTGAACAATATGCGAAGTATTTACAAATTTTTGAAAATATACATAGATTTCAATGCTTGGATCCCTATGACACGTGAATCAAATATTAATTAGAATTATGTAGAATTCTGAACACGAACGAAGTTGACTAGATCAAAAGTAGATTTCGATATCTTATTTTTCAGGCAATCGCTTTTGACGATTAATTGAATAAAATATTGAATAAAACTTAAGGACCGATACTTTTTTTTTCGTTCACTTATGCATTTATTAATCGCAATATATTTGTGTTGCCGAATAACAATGTATTTATGTAGGAAATGCTTGATAAAACAGACTTTATACAGCTGTTGGGAACTACACGTAAAAGCGTGATATGTAAAATCAACGATTAATGAACATCCTGCAACTAAATTACACGTTACATTACTTTCGATTTGCACATATACCGCAAACGATGTATGCAAATATGTTAAAAACATTATTCGAGAGAATAATTATTTTATACTTGAAATTTTCAAAAACATAGAATATAAAAATCGAAAAGTTGAAAGAACATTAAGACTTAAAATCACATAATCTATATAAGTACTCTAATATTAAATGTTATATAACTACAGAAAAATTTTATCAGTTTTAAAAAAATATATCACATATTTATTTCTTACAAAATTAAAAGGTACACACAAATGTATGTAAGATGTTCACTATTTCTTTATAAAAATAAATGATTTAAAAATATATATAAATGTTATATATTAATATCTAATATAAATCTTATATAAGAATATAAATTTTATATTCTTATTTTATATATGAGAGAGCAAAATAATCTCGCAAACATTTATATAAGTTAATTTATAATCTCGCAAACATTTATATGTTATTTATATAAATTAAATCTTATATAAATGTTTGCGAGATTATTTTGCTTTCATATATAAAATAAGAAAAACTGATTGAATCGATAATTTTATTTCTTGCCTCGTCATCACCTCAAAACATCAAGATAATATTTCAGAGTTCTACGTTATTTATATTTGTTTTCATGAGAAGCCCAGGCATGCGAGTCGCCACACATTTTCAAAGATTGGAATTGAAATTAACATATCTTATAATTCGTACTTTATAATCAGCAAAATATATTTTTTTATATTGATGAGAAATAATTTATTTGCTCTATGCATAATATGCAGATAATAATTTATCTTTTATCTAGTATTCTTTTTGGTGTAATTCAAATGACATTTCTCTCAATACTGGAATACAAAATTTATTTGTGCGAAGGCGCTTGAAATTTTTATCAGTTATATAACATCCGTTACACTCCATTTACATTTACATTCGTTTCGGAATAAATTATTTTAATCTTTCTGATGAAGTAACGCAGGAAATCGTTTTGGAAGATCTAACATAGCAGAAATTGTAACGTGGGCACATCATTAATATATTAAAATCGGGTTTGTCACAACTTAGAAAAGCGATTAATCTATCGTGACGTATATATAAGCACATGGAAATATGAGATAGATTTAATATAGTGTTTCTTCATACACGATGTAAGAGCGATTATTTGGATCATTGTTTGTTTAAAAAATTTTTAAACTGAATGTCGTTATTAATCGTTATTATAACATGCTATTTTAATGTAAATAAATATTGGGAACATTATTATATTCATTATATGAAAAATAAAAATATTGGTAGAATAATTTTATTTTAAACAATAAAATAATGAAATAAAAAAAATAATTTGATGTTAACAAATTTTTTAATATAGAACTCTCTATTATAAACATTTTTTATATATATATTTATTTTTAATTACTTCTAAATAGGATTATTTTGAGAAGAAATAACATTATTTAAGAAGTGATGATCTATGTAGGATCTTTAGATTGTTAAATCTTATGAGTCATTTTTTATAAGATTTTAAAATAATTTCATGATGCAGCCTCTTTTGTCTTCCTAAACAATTTGTCCGAACAGAAGGAATCGCATTAATAATATCTCGAAAGTTTTGAAAAATAGAAATATATAGAATATGAGAAGTGAAATTGGAAAAATTTTAAATTGTATTGCACGAAAAAACGTATATGCGAGAAATAAGAGAATGTACGAAGAATATGACGTCGAAAGCGCTGCGATTTTCGTGAATAATATTCCTTCCTAGCATCCTCTCGAATCGTGGGAACACTTCTTCCAGCACCGTACATTTACTTGCCGTGCAACCGTCCGCGTCCATATTTGACTGTCTGCGAGAACACGCTCTAACATTCTTCCATCTGTTCAATCCGATCAGGCGTCGGGAATCTCTCCTCGTTCGATTTTCTCTTTTAGCTTCTACATATATGTTTCAAAATACTACGCTGCTCAGGTTTTCTTATGCGTCTCACGTGCAATCGATAAACGTTGTTAGGAACTTCTCTCATCACTGATAATAAAAAAATCCATAGTAAACTTCATCATAGTACTGTTTGTGAAATCTTTTCATCGATATTCTAGCCACGAGAAACCAACGGGAAATTTAATCATAAAAATAGTTAGTGTTCCGAGAAAGATAAATTAATGGACATAATGTAGGAGCTCTTGCATAATTAGTAATAAATATATAATAAGTTAAATTTTATTATAAGTAGTTTTGATTTATATTTATCAAATAAAAATAAAAATTGATGATATCGTGTAATTTGAATTCTAAACATACAATTAATCTTTAAATTACATTTGTAGAAAAAAAGTAGATTTTAATAAAATTTATCAAGCACATCCGTTGAAGAGTATAGCTTTATAAAATTCATAATTAAGGAAAAATGGACTTAATTGCATTATTAAAAATTTAAATAAAAATTCTTAAATATAAGATAAAATATAAGAATTTAGAAGAGACGAGAAATATACTGTCAACATTATGGAATAATAATTTAGACATATTTGTTAAATATTAATTAAATAAGTACGCATAATTTTACATAATTCCTGTCTTAATAATATACATATATTTAAATCAATAAAATTAATTTACATTTGCGCGATTATTTATCGCTCTTCTTTTATAGAGAATTCTCCGTAAGATTTCTGTGTATAACATGATGGAGTCAGTTATGGAACATGGGTCATGCGATTATAATCCTGTTCTTCGTTTCCATGGTTTATTAGGTCACGTAATTCTTTTTTGCACCTCTCATCTCTCATCTTTCATTCCTAAGCGGCGGGACGTGTTCCGAGTATGGTGTATCTGCTATTTAGTTAATATGATCACGTCCGGTCTCGGTTAAAGCCTTTGATGAGTATAACGTATCATCTGCGGTTAGTCACTAATCAAGAATCGCCAATAATGCGATCTGTTAATTGTTTTGCACGTACAGCGATCACGATGCGGATACATTTAGGTACGCATTATTAGAGATAATTATTACCCGCGTGCAGACCGCTCGTGGGCATTAAGGGATTACATGATAAATCTATTTCGATTTCGCAAGAATTTAATTCGCGATGCGCTTCGCATATTGACACAATTCCGTATAATCGCGAGATACTTGAATCGAGAATTATTTATATCCGTCTCACGATACCTATATTATGTTATATATTTTAGATATATTGTGTTAGATATTTAATTGTTTTTCATATATTAATAAGAATATATAATATATTTTAAAAAATATATCTGAAAGTAAAAATTTCTCGAATGTATTTCTTCGAAATAAATTTTTTTGGAGTCTGATTCTCGAAATGATTTGTTTTTAAATATATTGTATACGTTTAAGTTTTTATAATATAATACAGCTATCAGTACAAAATAATTAACATAAAATAAAACATTGACAATATTTACAAAGGTTTATAAATAATTGATAAAATGCTCATTTATCATTTATGAAATGAAATTCCTTATCGTACAGTTCTGAATATATCTAAGGGCATTTGATATAATTTTAACTCCGTTTTAAAATTAATCCAAAAATATAAATTATTGCATAATTTAAATCATTCTATATAATCTATATAATAACTTTTACTTTTATTAAAAGAATTACACACATCAATATTGCTTTTTACTTTTACGAGTTAATAAAGAACGTCTACAACTTGAGTATAAAATGTATCTCACGAATCAATTAGGTGCGATATATGAAGTGATAAAAAGCGCTGTTGAAATGACTTCTATGACAGCCAATTTTCTTTTCCACGTACAATTGCCTCGTCATCTGGTTTCTCTCGAACCTGAAGAGGTATGTTCTAAGTACGAGGAAAAGATTCCTTATTTTTCTTGTCCCATCACGATCCAATTACCGTCAGATGCACGCGTCCATTAACGCGTGTTTCGTTTCTTTTTTTCTGTTCCAGCCACAATCATGGTATGACACACTGGATTGAGGTAGCCAGCCTATAAACGCCGATTATCAGCCACCGCCATGAGCAAGCTATTTCAATTTCTGCTTCTCCTCCTGCTGTTGGGTGTCAATGCCAGACGAACCGATGGAGAGAGACCTGTGGATGACGCATACGATGGCCAGCAGCAGCGTCGTGGTTCCGTTCACAAGTCGAATTACAATGGCAACAATAACCATCACAATCATCAATCGAATTCGCCATATTTGCCGTATCAGCAGCCCAGAGAAAGGAAGCCCAATATCGTGTTGATTTTGACGGACGATCAAGATGTCGAATTGGGTTCGTAGCAACAGTTTATATGTTAAACATATGCAACGTCGAATTATTTATTACGCTGTCAAATTACTGATATAAATGCCTATTACATGGGGAACATAACGAGTTACTTTGTACGGTCTGCTGGTGCCTTATCTCATTGTTACTGATATTTATAAGATTCTCAAATATCGTCGTATGTATTCGAAGAAAATCTAGTATATCATTTCAATGTATAATATTGCATCTGTGGACATGTGTTTATTTTGATTATAATCCGTCGTTTAATAGGAATAAAACGCACAATCTTTGAATAATATTCATAATATTTTCACTCGTTTTTCATTGCGTTTAAACTTTCTTAACAAAATTTTAATTAGTTACTTATTCTCCTCTTTTTATTAGTTACTTATTATTATAATTACTTATAATTAGTTACTTATTCTCCTCTTTTTTTTAATTTTTGAACAATTAATATCTAAAAACTTTAAAACTAAAATCATTAGTTTTAATTTAAGTAGAAAGATTAAACGTAATGAGTGAAAATATTATGGATATTATTCAAAGATTGTGCGTTTTATTACTAAAATATTAACTAAAAATCTTTAGTTTTAATTTTTTTAGATATTAATTGTTCAAAAATTAATGAAAATGATTGTTTCGATTTTTCAGGTTCGCTGAACTTTATGCCGCGGACCCTCAGGCGAATAAGGGATGAGGGCGCCGAGTTAAGACACGCATACGTGACCACTCCTATGTGTTGTCCGAGTAGGAGCTCTTTGCTGACCGGTCGTTACGTTCACAATCACGAGGTCTTTACGAACAACGACAACTGCAGCAGTCCCCAGTGGCAACGAGATCACGAGCCTCACTCCTTCGCTGCTTACTTAAGCAATGCCGGATATCGAACAGGTAAGAAATCGCTATCACTAGTCTATAAGTCTAATTAATAAGTCATTCGTAATGTTTTGTAAATTTTTAATTCTGCGAAGATTGTATTGTTTTACAAGATGCTTAATAATTGGAAGCACAAAGAGCCTCATGTTTTATCGCCTAAAATTTTTATAAATTAATAGAAAAATCAAATTTAATAGAAATTAAATAATAGAAATCAAATTTTTTCTAACAGAAATTTGAAAATATATATATTATAGCGTTTTCTTAATTTTCAATTTTCAATGTTTATATTATCAAATTTTTGTCTATACAATATTTTTACGTTGATGCAATAAAATGAAAATAAAAAATATTAAAATTTAAGTAATATTTTGCGTTGCAAAACTACAAAAATTAGGAGCATGTTATAAAAATTAAAAAATAAATTCTTAATAAAGCTACTTATTGTCAATGCTTATAATCATTACTGGCGCAGTATACGAAGAGAATAGACTCTTTTATCGTCCACGGCATTGTAACTTGCGCATAACTCGACCTTTGGACGCATAAATGCAATCAAGACAATCGAGACGCGTTCAATTGAAGTGAGGTTTCTATTTACCTCCCTACTAGAGCACAATGCTGCATTATGCGTAATTGGAGTCAAGTATGGTCCCTGATAAATCGCTCGTTATATAAGCCAGCACGAGTCCGTTTAAGCTGGGATTTGCAATCAGTATAGGTCGAAACCTCGCTCACCTTGTTTTTCAACTGCCCTTACATCGCGTAAATCAACGCGCTCGTAAGAGCAACTTCCACGATACTTTGTGCGTATCGTTAAATGAGGCCAGATCGGCATTTTTTATTCACACAAGGAACGCATGTGCGTTGCCGCGAGTGCATTCTTACAATTAAAATCTCAATTAATTTATCCTCTGTTCTCTTCTCTTTCTTTTCATTCTTCATTTTTCATTCTTGTCGTATTTATCTTACATAACTGTTCATTGTTTATATTTCAAGGAATTCACCGTAGAGTTAAATAAATGTATTTATTTCTTATTTATCTCGATATTTCATCACCGACGAGCCTCGAGATTTTCATTCTCGAACCCGCGCGCGGCGTCGATCGTGCACGAGATGCATACAGTTTCGGTCGCATCGCAGGACGAATATGGCAGTGCATTCCCGCGGAATTCTCCGGGCTTCGATCTTGCCAAGCGAGTTCGTCCCGTCGTCCAACTGCGATTGTTCGGCTCCTCTCTGTTACAAGGCTCGTTCTCTTCCACGGCCTTCCGACAAAATCTTGACGGTTCGCAGAAGCGGAGAAACGCTCTTCTCTCCGTGAGCAACCAAAAACGGTTGTAGCATCGCACCTGCGTCTCGATACGATCGATTCGCCAACGGCAATAACTCAAAATCCAGAGACGTTCGATTCAACCCGTTCGAATTGTGTAGCGTGGCCTGCGTTTATTTGCATTGTCTGACTATCGTAAAATATATATCGTATCTATTTGGAACCGAGTTGTGTCTATAAATTCGCGATCACGATGTAATATATCGTCAAAATGAAATTAACGAATTTACAATTATATTCATTATAAATTTTATAATTATTTGCAAAGTTATTTCTATAATTATTATTATAAAAATTTACAAATTAATAAATTAAAAATTTATTTTCTTCGAACGAGAGTGCAAGCGTCTGCACTTTATGTAAGATGCTTGTTGTTTGATTTCACCGAGTACCTGAGTAGGGAGAGCAAGACTTCAATCGTCCGCTTGTGAGCCTAAAAGTTAGTTATGCCGGATCATGACCTGCGCGATATGATGTCACTTATGCTGGATCATGTCCGACGATAAGAAGTTATGAACCACAAAATTCATCACGCTCGTGATTGCGATTTACAAGATAACCGGTGATACTAATGTACCATAATAATGGCAGACATCGATACACGCAAAAATATTTCGTTGTATTTACCTCGAGTCGCACAATCATAATAGGCCTCCCACGATATGTATATCGCGACTTTAGAACGTTATGTCGCATTTTACCGACGATTTCTCTTTTTGCTAAAAGTACATAAAACACGTTGATGCGTCTGCGACATCGGAAACTCTTAATACAATGTAGGACAACGCATTTTCTTTTTTTCACAAGCTTACATAAGAAGAAACGTGCATCTTTCTCGACAAATTCAGAAAGAACTATTAGGAACGATTCGTAAATAATAAAATCCAGGATTTATTATTAATCGTTAAGTTTCGGAAATTTTTGTTAACTTCAACTGTAGTTAAATTGTCTGTTTATAAATTTTGTTTTTGAAGAAGAATAGAACATTAGTTAGATTTTAGTAAAAAATAATTCGATATCGATGAAATGATATCTCTGAAGGGAAAATATGCAAAAAATATTATCTTTGATAAAGCTCACAAGGAAACAAAAATTATCATGTCGACGATTGTGGTGCCGATGGAACCGCTCATTCGCCAATATTAGATCTTATGCAAGTTGTCTTTTCTGCTGGAGCACTTCTTTTTGTTCGTCGGTATCTTCCCTCTCATTACATTCACGCTTTGGTACGCGACACGTCTGTTCGCGACCATATTCGCGAAGGCAGGACGTTGCTCCCTGAAAGTTCGGTCATACCCTTGCTCGTCCGTCGAGACCCTCGTCTACATCCGGCACGAGATTGGCGACCTTCCAAAATTTGCGCGCGGATGCATGCACGTAACACACATGATAGTTCATGTTCTTCCACTTCCGTGAAAATTGTAGTTATGTGGTTTAAATAAGGCCCTGAATTTTTGAATCATTTAACTCGAGATCGAAACACGGTTAATTCGACGCATAATTCGATTCATTTTCATCGCGAGATTATTTTGTTTTAATACTTTCAAACACAGAGAAGAAAAATCAGTCGATGTAAGATCTGTCGACTTTATTGCTACCATAGGACATCAAAGGCATTCAGAGCTTTAAATTATTATTTACATTTGTTTCATTTTCAGTGGAATTCAAATATGCGAGTTTTCATACATTTTCAAAAATTAGAATTGATATTAATGATGTTTTATAATTCGTGTTATAATTTGTATACTATAATCAGTAAAAAATATCTTTATATAACAAATAATTTATAACTCTATCTAGTATATAAAAAGAATTTATTTAATTAAGATATATGTACAACATATATATATATATATATATACATATATATATATGTATATATATATATATAAAGTCTATTGTGAATGTTTGTGTACATCTTAATCAATGCAGTAGAGTTATAAATTATTATTAAATTGTTAAAATATATTATAGAATAAAATATAGAATAAAATACTTTACCAAAGATAAAGATTTTTCTTAAATATAGCTTTTTGTTTCTACGAAATTCTTTCCCATTACTCCTTTTAATATATAGAGAAATTAAAATAAGATAATTGGAAAAGGAATATTTTATAAAATTTTCATATTTTATGTTCAAAATATGTCAAAACATAAATATGAAATAATTCTTATATATAGTCATCATGATAAATTTTATTAATTTTTATACACATAATATATGATTTGATTATGTGTAAAGAAATCTATTAGTCTGTTTATGTTAATATGTGTATATTTCGTTGTAGTTGTGGAGAAAAATGCCATAGAAAATTAAATGTCATTAAATTTTTTCTTCTATTCCTATTAACCTATCTTTAAAAATATTCTTAACTAATTGTGTATAATTATTAGACACGAGGCAATCTAGAAGGAATTGATGAAATCTACACTTTCTATATTGACAAAATTACGTGACTTCTGAAATTACAGAATACTTATATGTCAAAGTGTGTGCAATCCGTTTGATCGATTAATTTGATCGAGTTACGTTTTATTCGAAATAGTGAATATGGATAGATCTATTATATTCATGTTTAAATTTTGACATCTCATTAAAATTAAAATTTATGGATATCATATATTATATATATAATGTGATGAAATATTTCTGTTCTGAGAACAGCAATTTTTTTGAAATCTATACAACTCATCTAGTCATCTTCGTTTTTGGATTTTACGATTTATGTTTGCTTCATTTTTATGTTGGGGCCCGAACGTGCAAGTCCCCAAGTTCTTCAAAAATTTGAACATAAGTTCTTCAAAAATTTATGACTCTAAATGTCTGGATTTAGAATGATGATTCACTATTAAATCTAACTTAAATCTAACTTAAATCTAGCTTAAAGCTAACTTAAATCTATCTAAAACCTGACTTAAACCTAAACTTAAATTTATGCTGATAATTCATTTCTGATATATTATATAGGGCATGAAGTATATTTTCGTTTACGAGAAATAATTCTTATTTGACTCCATCTAGTGTACGAAAGAGATATAACCGAAAACAATTTAACACAAGCATTGAATGTGAACTCTATATGTTTTCATACACTAAATGAAGTCGAGTAGGAATTATTTCTTCTAAAAGAAAATAGGTTTGTTACATTATAATACAAGAATGAACTGCATACAGGACGTCAAAGGCATTCAGAGTTTTAATTATTATTTATATCTGCTTTATTTTCACAGTGGAACTCAAACACGCAAGTTTTAATACATTTTAAAAAAAAGGAAATGATATTAATGATGTTTTATAATTCGTGTTATAATTTGTATACTATAATCAGCAAAAAATATTTTTATATAAGAAATAATTTGTAACTCTATCTAGTATATAAAAAGAATTCATTTAATTAAGATATATGTATAGATATAAAGTCTACTGTGAAAGCTTGTGCACATCTTAATTAATGCGATAGAGTTATAAATTATTATTAAATTGTCAAAATATATTGTATAATAAAATATGAAATACTTTGCTAAAGATTATTCTTAAACGTAGCTTTTTGTTTCTACGAAATTCTTTCCTATTATTTAATATACAAAGGAATTAAAATAAGATAATTGAAAAAGGAATATTTTATAAAATTTTCATATTTTATGTTCAAAATATGTCAAAATATAAATATGAAATAATTCT